GCCTAATATCTAATATTTTCAAAATCTTCCTGGAAAATGTAATATACATATTTCCTATATGAGAGCCTGAAACTCAGCAATATTTGTATCTCCTTCCTGATCAATATAAAACCTTCAGGAACTCTTATATCTATCATCACTGCTTTAGACATATGGTCTATTTTTGTCATCTATTTAGTTGTAGTTTATTTTTCTTAAAGCTATATTATTATCATAAGTTACAGATAATACTGGTTTAGCATTACATCTACATTTACCATGCTCTTTCTTCAATTCCACTTGAATATTAGACTTACTATTGAAGAGTCATAATCCTCTTTACAATTTCATTTTTCAAAGTCTGTTGTTAGCAAACCCTCAATTTAAGCTTTCTTTTTCTTTTAAGGAATAAAATAATACTATAACAGATACAGGTTTCACGGACTCCGCCCCCACTCCATGCTGGAACTCCAAATCCCATCAGTACCAAGAAGAAGCACGCAGGGACGTGAGGGCGGAGCTGAGCAGCCAGGTTGGGATAAAACCGGACATGTGGGCTCTGGGGGGCTCTTGGCCTGGTGGTTCGCAGCTGATCGTTTTGGCGCTCAATCGGTTTTCAGCGTGCCGGTGGAGTCCACGTCAGCAGAACTGGTAGGACATCCTAGTTAACCTGTGTTTCTCTCCCTCTTTCCCTGGGTTATCCCTTTACCTTTATCCTTATAAATAAATCCATTATTTAACCTTTTGAAGTGTGTCCATAATACGATTGAATCGTAAGCGCACGGGTGAAGACCCACAGACAGGCAACCCAATTCACATTGGGGTGCCCTGTAACAATACCACCCAGATCTAGTATGTGTTTATTGATCAACCAATTTTTAAACAGTCATTGTGCATCTATCCTGAGGCAGAGTTGCTATTTGAGAAAGAATAGGGGAGGAGAAAGAACTATATAGTCATAAAATGAGAAATAACCACATTTCAGAGTTCACCTGTTCTGGCCTAATTATTAATAACACTCTTTACATTTTCAAAAGTTTTACAGTTTAGACATAAGCTACATGGTAACTTGAATAAAGTCCAAATGATTTTTGCCACTCCTAGTTTCTGGATCCATGATTTCAAGGTAGGAAAAAGCTACTGAAGCATTGAGGATGAAGAGCTGTGTCCAAGAAAAGTGAGGTAACTGTTCCAGCTGCTTCTACCCCAAGGCAATTGTCAATGGTATGTGTGCAGCAAGAGAGAGAAAATGTGGATTCTTTCTAGGCAGAAGGCCTCTGTTGGAAGGTATATAAATTAGCAAAGATGGGCCCTCCCTGGTGACACAGCACATTAAAGCACAACACTGCGAAGCTGGCCGCAGGTGCTTTGGTGAGAGTTCCATCCCCACCCTGGAGGTGACCCACATGGCCCAGCAAACCTCTCCTGTCTTACCCACTGCTCACCTCAGCAGTGTACTTTGTTCACCTGTCTATTCTGCTCCCCTCTCTGACTATGGTGAATCCTCTCATTGTCCCTACACCTCTACCTGTCTATTCTGCTCCCCACTCTGACAATGGTGAGTTCTCTCACTGCCCTTGCACCTGAAGCCTGTACCCCAGTTCTGTATGCACAAATAAATAAATCTTAAAAAAAAAAAAAAACATTTCCTGAATTAGGCAACTGCCTAGGGAAGAGGCTTAAAAGAAGAGCTTAGCTTTATTTACAATAGGAAAGACACAGAATCAGTCCAAATGCCCAAAAGCACATGACACTGGATTTAAAAGATGTGGTACTGGGCCCTCCCTGGTGGTACAGCGGGTTAAAGCACAGCACCTCCTGCCCCGGAGGTGACCACATGGTGTGGCAGACCTCTCCTGCCCAGCTGCTCCCCTCAGCAGTGTACTTCATGGATCTGCCTGTTCTGTTCCCTGCTCTGTCTCTGGTGAATCCTCTCACCCTCTGCATCTCTGGCCTGTACCCCAATTCTGTATGAATAAATAAATTAAAAAAAAAATGTGGTTCATATACACAATGGAATATTATTCAGCAGTCAAACAAGATAAACTCATGCCTTTTGTACAAAATGGATGGAGCCGGAAGGGATCATGTTTAGTGAAATAAGCCTGAAAGCAAAAGAAAAATACCCGATGGTTCCAGGCATAGCAGGAGCATAAGGACCAGAGTGTGTATGTGAGGGGTGGGGGGATAATAATAATAATGAACAACTATAAACCTGAGACATTTTATGGCAGTGGAGTGGGGAATGGGATAAAAAATGGGGGGGGGGGGAAGTACACTGGACTATGGTGATGGCACACAGGTGATTTGGTGATGGGAAGCCCCCAGGGATTACAACTGAGATGGAAAAAGGCACAAAATGATGTAACATAAACTATTATATATATATATATTAAAGGCACATACATCATTTTAGTAAAAATACACATCTATCCATGCAAAAAAAAAAGAGCTGAAATTTTGGCATGGTTTTTGTTTCTCAGTCTTTCTCTGTTCAGGAGATAAAGGGTATGCTTATGACTTCTGGAGGAAAGTTGATAATTTTTTAAATAAATTAATCCAAAATGACAAAAAATGAAAGAAATATGGCACAAAACAGAGGACAAAATAGAGGAAAATTAAACAAGATAGAAATCCAAATATGCTGCTATTACAATAACTGTGAGTAGATTAAATATTCCAGTCAAGAACAAAGGATAGTCAAATTGGTAAAGAAATAAACACCAATTATATAATGTACTTGAGATATACTTCTTAAGTAAATACATAGATAAGGAGGGAAAAATACATAGATAAGAAGGGAAAGTAACTTAACAACAAAGCAGTGTAGATCACTACTTCCTTTTACCTTCTTGGAATTTGCAAGAATTTCCTTCCTTTATATTTATCACCCTCCCATTTCATCCAACCCAGCTCAGTTCCCCATCAGCACTGGTCATCTTGACTTTCTGCCTCCTTGATTTTCTTTCTTCATGCTTTCTCCCAAAGTAGACACAGCCCTTTTTCTTCAGTTCCTACAACTGCAATGCTGTTGCTTGTAGCAAGCCACAGAGCAGAACAGGAAACAGCTGGATAACAGATAAAAGATTTCAGTAGTCTTTAGCTCAGTTGTTTTCTACTTCTCCCCTTAGGATGATTTTATCACAGTCCTATCTTTCCTAAGCACCTGTAAATATCTCTTCACTTTCTCTGGATTCCAGATACCTAATGTTATACCCTCTAGTATTCCAAGAGGACACTAATAGTTATTGCTATTTAATTTCATGGAATTTTTTTTCTTTTTTTTCAAGTTCACTCTTTTGAACTTGTAAATTATGGCCTTCATGTAGGTATTAGTCTCATCACAAAATCCTTCTAAGTACAGCAGCAGTCTTCCTACTGATAAACAGTTTTAGGATGCAGAAAGAACCCTGAGGGTATTGGTTTTGTTTTTTGGGGGGTGGGGAGGTGGGGGGAGGTTTCTAAAGACACTAACTTTGACTGATAATGGTTTCTTATGTGAAGCAAAGAACATATGAACTAACTTGTGTGGGGAAGGAAGAGGGGCAGGTTTGTGTGTCCCAGAAGTCAGAGGAACAGGAGGGAAAGAAAACCTGAGCTGTAGTTGTTTTGAATATTAAAGAGAGGAGATTTAATCATGCTAATAAGAAGCAGAGATTGTACAGGTTTAAGCTTGTGAAAGACCTTTGCCCTTCTGACTACTCTCTGTATGGCAGGGTACTCTTGCTCCCTTGCTTTCTGTCTCCTGATGAGGTTCTGCCAGGGAGAGGCAGAGTATTTAAGGTTGGGAAGGTGGTGGGTTGAGGTACTGATTCCCTTAATTCCATTCCCCCCACCCTCCTTTTTTCTTTTTGGTTTTGCTATCATTTACTGGAATCTTCACGTGTTTATTTCTCACATTTTTAAAATTTATTTGATCAGGGCAGAGTTGTAGAAAAGCAAACACACCCTGAGTAGGAAAGTTACTCCATTTCCTGTCTGCCCCTAACGTGGCTCTGGTGGTTGTCCTTGGAGTGTTTGGTTGCTGACCCTGGTGAATAATTGCACACTGGGTCAGAGAGGTGCAGCCTCACTGCCTGGGTTTATGTTCTCTAATTGACTTCTTTTAATTCCTTCTACAGCAGAAGTAGACTTTGTAGTTGACTTTTCTATGACCCAGTGGAAACAGCCTTGTTGCGATATTGGGTTCTATGATGGTGACTATTAATTAAAATTTTGTCTTTAGCATGTCTGAAAACCTAAGTTTTTTAAAGGCATTTCTTCACCCCTTTCTATTGTGGATAACAGCAACAACAACAAAAAAAAGATGGAAAGATGAGAATTAGAAACAATATTTCTCATAAGGTAGAGAGAAATGGGATCTATAACACAGGATTTACTTTTGTAACAAAAAGCTGTATCTTCTGTGAGATTTAGGAATGAATGGAAAAACAGTGGAACCTTGGGGAACAGAGAGGCAGGTCAGGCACGTTAAGGTATCTAGGGTGTCTGAGGACTTTTATTAGCAGATAAGCAATGTATAGCTGATGTGCAATATATACAGGGGGGTAACCCTATATATAAAGGTTTTGGAAGAATAAACTGACCTCTTAGTGAAAGTTATAAATGAAGAAGCCATGTCCAAAAGTGAAAATATAAATGACAAGAGAATCTCAATAGGAACAGTGCTGAAGCTGAAGTTCACCTTTGAGGAGAACCAAGTTAAAATTTGTGGGCAAAGAGGAAGAGATAGAGGTAAGGATGAAGAAGGTGCAAGTTAGATGGATTCTGGTGTGAGCTGGAAATTTAAAAATACAGAACATAAAAATCCATAATATTTAGATTAAATTTTAAGATACAGAATGGGAGAGGGAAGAAAGAGTAAATTTTAGATGTTGATGGAATCATGACTTTATTGGCTCTTTACATGTAATTGAAAACTGCTAACATCTATGGCTCAGACACTCCCTCCTACAACTTGATTATCTGCCAAACCTTGGGTAATAAATAGTCTGCAAGCTCTCTGTACACAGAGCTGAAGTTTTTTAAGAGACATCGAAACAAGATCACAAGGTAAGAATGAAAATAAAGTGTCTGTAGATTTTTAGTCAGGTTTTACAAAATAAGAGAGAATTTTTTTATCTATGTCTATAAAGAATTTGGTTAGTTTGTTATCATTATGCCAGTAGAAGTTCATGGTAGTTGCTACTTAAAATTTAGATATCAATTCCTTATTTTTTATGAATTGTTTAACATTTCATTTTACATTTCAAAATTATTAATAAATTTCTAAGATTAATCAATATAAGAATAAGGCATGTAATTGATTGATATATTTTATATTTCGAAATATAAAATTTATATTATTGAATAATTAATATTTATTTATTAATAATTATTAAATTTATATTATTAAATAAAATTTATATTATTCTATTTTATGCTTACCTAAGACAAATCTATACATAGTTGTTTTAAAGTGGCTTCTGAGAAAAATGGGACAAGTAGAAGAACTGGGAGGTTCTCAAAATTATTTGTTCAAAAATAAGCCATTCATAAAAAAATAAGGAATTGATATCTAAAAGGGTAAAATCAAAGCTTTGTTAGTTTTGTAACATTACTCATTTAGAGTCTTTTAAAGATTGCCTTATTCTCTTTATGTCTTGCTGATTTGTGGTGGTCTTTTTTCTCCTTGACCTTTTCTCTGCTATCTCTTTTCCACACACGACTATTTTGATAAAGAAAATGACACAAAATCGAAAAGTATAGCTGCACAATAATTGATCCCAGGTATTTGAAATTTGATTTGAGACTAGAGTAACCAGGACTATATGTTTCTGGATCTTCCTGACTCATTTCTTCCTCAGCACTGTGGTACAGCTTGATCACCCCTGTATGTCATCTTGATCCTGTGCTGTTGCCAACATTCCTACCTATTGCATCTCACATTTATCTTTTGAATATTTTATATTCCTCTTTTAATTTCATCTCTAAAAAGGCACAGCTCTGCATTCAGAAAACATCAGAACCCTCTATTTCCTAAAGTTTGAGGTGCTTGAGCCAAATCACACAGCTGGGAAATATCTTTAAATGGTGAAAAACTCAGCAGAGGCACCACTCCCTACAGTTCAAGTTCCACATTTTCTTCATTCTTCTATAAAAGGATCTTGAGTCCCTAACAATCTGGTCTGTTGGCTGGATGACATATTTTCACAGCAATGTGTTGGCCTAGATTTTCTGTTTCCCCATCCTGTTTAATATACAATATATTCAGCCAGAATGTACGTTTCACCCCTTCCCCTTTATATAGAGAAAAAATTCTAAGGGACAACTTTTACCTAAGGGTTGAAATAGGACTGAAAGTAAGGGAAGAGACTGTGAAATGGGAGTTGCCATTTCAGGCTGGGATTTGTACAGGGTTAAAGAAGCAGCTTGCAACCAACTTCAGGGAATATGCACATGCATCAGTTGTAAAGTTCTGTTCTAGGAAGAAATTCAATTGTTACAGGAAAAATACTATGGTGATGGTGTTGGGAGGCAGCATTGAGGGAAGAAGAGCATAAACATGAAGGCAGGTTTATGTCGTAAATCTCATAGAACAAGGTCTCTATGGGAGACTTGCTTGTACAATTAAATCAGTACCAGGAAGTACTGCAGAAAGGGCAGCATTGGGGGGAATGAAACAATATACATCTGGGAATTTTTATGCCACTACATATAATAACATTGGGGTTTGGTGAGTGGGATCCTTGAGTTCTTCCCATTCCTGAGAATGATTTCAGCAGTTCCTGTTCAGCAGCATCCAACAATTTTATTAAGGAAAAAGACAAAGAATACATTTTCATAGACAAAACAGGCAAAGGTTGCATTTTAAAAGGTCAGGTTCATTAGGAAAAAAAGACACCTGCATAGACACAGGTGGGCAGTCTTAGAACAATCTCTACCTATTAACAGAGCAACGGATGTCCTTATATAGTGGTTGGGTTGGTTTTCTATAAGGACAGATAAAACTGTCTGATCCCACCTCTGATTTCTGAAAACTTCCATCACCAGTTTAAATACTCATTAATCATTCTTCCCCTCACTTCTGGTTTTCAACTTTGTGAAAACTACTCTAAATTTTCTACTCTCAGCTTCAACCAATAATAGCATTGAGTTGTTTTTGGAGATATATATGTGTGACTATGCCAAAATCAATGTATCTTTTATTCAATGAATTGAAATGTTGGCAAATACAGTGGGAATCAAGAATTTCAGAGTTCTCCTTCACATGTCTGTTTCTAGTAGTGACATTTAAAAATATTGAAAATATTAAGGAGGTCAAAAATAACCTCCTTAAACAGCAGTGAAAAACTTAATTCCATCCTCCTTCTCCTCCCTTCCCTCCCCTCCCCACACAAAAACAACCCAACAACAAAAAGAAACTATTGAAGGGCTTCCAGAAATTGTGATAGATCCTCTAATCTCTTCAGGTTTTCCTCTGGGTTAACTGATGCTGACATCTGTAATGCAGATTCAAAAGAATTTTTTAAGTGACACTGCCTTAGAGGGCAGTAATTGTTCTGGGCAGTAATGGAGGAATAAGGCGCTCAGGGCTCTTCTTCCCAGTACTACCTCTCTGTCACACGCCCTTGTTATTGTTGGTAGTTCATGCTATATCTGTGAATGTTTTTGTTTTGGCTGAGGAATGCACTACAGCTTAACAGTAAAAAAAAAAAACCAAAAACCAAAAACAAACACACACCAAGTCAGACCTGCTTCAAATTCACCCAACATCTGCCATTGAATAGCTGTGTGATTTTGGATCTTGGATCAATTTTGGGTTTTGGATCAACTTTCCTGAGCCTGAATTTTTTTCTCTGTTGTAAAATGTGAAACAATACAAAAATGAAATAACAACAAAAATCACCTACCTTACACAGGTGTTGTGGTGCTTTCTCAAGGTAAAGTCAGAAACATTCAATAAAGGTATCTGTTAGTTACTAAACTTTACTAAATGTGAATAATTTTCACTATATTACCTCATTTAATACTTGAAGGACCTTTGTAAGATAAACGTTATCTTCTCCATTTATAAAATTAAAAAGATGGGGATATTGAAATCCAGAGTCAAGACCCAAGGAGAAAAAAGAACCAGAAAGCAAAAACAAATTCTAAGCAATATAATTTATTGCATCTCTAATCTTCCTTGTGAAGTAATTTTTTATTTAAAATTTCCATCATTTTCAAACATGAAATATTAGTGAGACAATACTGAAACTCCCAGCTACTTTCTTTACCGCTGTGTTCCTTGCCATCTGAGAGGAAGGGTTCCTGCCAATTACCACTCTTAAGTAACTTGGTTTTGTTATTTTTATTACTGTTGCCAGAATCAAGAGGGGCCCACCCATAAACTTGGCAGGATGCTTTGCTTTTAATCAATACACCAGTACACTAGCTCCCCTTCACTTTGAAAAGCTCATGGGATCATCATAATTTCTCCTAGCAATACCATTGCATCTGAGACCTTACACAATTTTGTAAAAATGTTTTCATTGCTCTTAGAATTCCTGGCAAAGATTCAAGATGCCTCTTAAAAAAGTATCAAGCAGAATTTCATTTTTATAAATCTCTGTGTTTACATTTCAACTTCTATAACTTCTTAACCCACGGACTCTGTCACTGGCAGTTGTTTAAGAAATGTTATATAAGCAGTTCATTTTTTTTTTTTTTTTTGAAAGAGAGCAGGGCTTCCCTGGGGACAATGGGTTAAGTCTCAGAGCCTACCACTTTGATGACCTCAGTTGGATCCCCAGCCTGGGAGCTGACCCACATTAGGGAGCAGCCTTCTCCTGTATTGCCTACTGCTCCCTGCAGCAATATATTTCAGTAGAAATATCTGTCTATTCTGATACCCACTCTGTCTCTGGAGAATACTCTCACCCCCCCCCGTCCCCCTCCCCGCACCTCTGGCCTACACCCTAGTTCTTCTACGCAAAAATAAATAAATAAAATCTTTTAAAAAAAACAACTAGAGCATATGCCTTTCCCCTGTGTTCTTTGATTTGTGGCCTTATTATATCCAAACATGAATTTTGCTCTAATTTGAATTTATTACTTCCAAAATTTTTCCTTCCTGAAATTTTATTTTTCTATTACCTTTTATACATGTTATGTATTAATTGTTTAAGACTCTTTAATAACTTTGTTTAAATAACACTTAATCAGCAGTCAGAATGATTGCTTCATATTGGTAAACTAGTAGTAGTAATACTATTACACTTCCTTGAATAATACTGCTTTGAAATCTTTTTTAAAAGCCTCAGCCAGAAACACAGGTACTAACAGTCACTCTTCAGCTTCCTTTTTATCCTTTCACTATGACTTGTATTAGATCCACATTGCTTAAATGCATAAGTAATACTTTATCAAAGACAGTGCATATTTTTGCACACTCTGATTTTGTGTCATATGGCTTGTGATTTAATTAAGTGACGTGGTTTGTGAAATGATAACAGTAACTACTACTATTTGGTGGTTGTTTAATAGAATAACTTAGATATTGTTAACTCAAAGGCATATAAGCTTTTTTGCTAAGAGAGTTTGGAGACTGCCATGCTGGGACATGAGATGTAATGCTCATGGTTGGCTGCTCAATTATTATCTTTCATTATGTCAAGTGGAAGGATTTCTCTTTGGTAATATGAGGTCATTGAGATCAGTCTCAGCATTTATAAACATTAAGGCCATTTGCATTGTGATGTGCCCATTGGGGAAAAATATCATTTATAAGTTCTTGGGTTTCTTAATTCATTAAAAAAATAAAGTTAAATAAAGTCCATTATTTTGGCAGCATCCAATTTCTTCCCCCAGCCATTTGTGTGAGGTGAACTTGATAACCTCTATAGTAGGGTAACGAGATATCCCAGCCATTTGTGACAAGTGCTCCTAAAAGGGCATTTGGGTTTACACTCCCTGGGTCTACCTAGGCAGACAATGCAGCGACTAGTAACCGCTAGGGTTGTGGGTCATTGTTAGGTTCAGATAATTTCTGAACTTGTTACATATGCAAGTCCTCCTTCCTGGCAAAGAAA